AGTTATTTTTGACCGATCCTCGCACTTTTGACCAGTCCTTGAAGTTACAACTGTCCTCACATTTTACATTTTGCGCCCTATCTTGTCACTGTGGTGAAGAGAAGTAGTGGTGAAATGACTGACATGGTTGTTAAGAATGCTGCACGGGCATAAATGTGAGGATGGTCATAAGTGTGAGGACTGGTCAAAAGTGCGAGGACCAGTCAGAAATGACTTTTTTCAGCCCTCTGAGTAGTCCCTATGCACATAGCCACGCCCACCCAGTCACACGACCAGCTAGCCACGCCCACACAGTCACACGACCAGCTAGCCATGCCCACACAGTCACATGATTGCCCAGCCACACCCCCAACTAAGCCACGCCCACAGAACCTGTTGTTAAAAAAATTGAATCCCACCACTGGCTTTACACTACAAGATCATCAAATTAGTCAATCCTAAAAGAAATCAACCCTGACTGAAGCTAAAGCTCAAATACTCTGGCCACCAAATGAGAAGAGAAGGCTCACTGGAAAAGATTCTGACATTGGGAAAGATTAAAGGCAAAAGGAGAAGATGATGAGATAGTTAGATATGTCATTGACACAAGAGACATAGGTTTGGGCAGATTCCAGGAGAAAATGGAGGACGGGGAGGGGAGGGGCCAGTGTACTGTGGTCCATGGAGTCGCAACGAGTCAGGGACGACTTAGCAACTGAACAACAACATGAGGTTTACATGGATATAGGCAAATAAGTAATGTTTTTAATACATTTTAATATAAAAAGTTGGAGCCTTCTTTATCCAGGTTTTCCAACTAAATTCTAACCTAAGCCTAACTATTCAAGCAATCTGATTATTAACCAGATACCTCTGGAAAGCCCCCAAACAGAACAATACAGCTAAAGCTATATTTTTCTTCCTATTTCCCAAAGATACATTCCTACTGATCCTGGCCATTTTGTGTCATGAGTCATCTTTCTGGTTCTAAATTATGTTGTGGAAATGACATATGAGATAACTACCAAATGATCTGCATATGGAAGGGCTTCTGCTGTCTTAAAATGCTACTCAAAACAAAATTAAAAATATGTATTCTGCTGCAGGTTCTGTCTTGTAGATCTCAAAATTCTAGTTAATAGAAAGAATTCCAGAAAAATCTGAATTGTAATCACTTTTGCTACATAGATATTCTTCCTACATAACAGCAGCCTTGCTTTCTCCAAGCGTCCTAGAAGGTATCTAGATAGAAGCTTATTTATGTAGGCATCAGTTGTACACTTTGTACAGGTTGCTACATTAAAGTGATCAGACGTCCCGCTTTTGGCGGGACAGTCCCGCTTTTGAACAATTTGTCCCGCGTCCCGTGGCGTTTTAAAAAAGTCCCGATTTTTGAAAAGAATTCACGACAAGCTAGGGAACGGCGCAGTGGTGGGTTACTCCCGGCTGCCTCCTGAGTCCCAGCTGATGGCTAGAGGGAAAAACACTGTTTAAACTCTTGCCGCAGGGCTTCAAAGGGCCGCCCTACAGCTGATCAGTGTTAAAAGAAAAAAAATGAGTAGACCGATGCCTGCAAAAATAGAAAAAACAGCCCCTTAAAGCTTCAGCATAGGTTAATTAGCACAAGTTGATTAGATCGGCTTCCCGACTCTCAGCTGATTTGCTCTCAGCTGTTTTGCTCAGGGCTCTGTAGTTGCTAGCTGCAGAGTGCTGGAGATTTTCCCCCCCTAACTATGCTGAAAAAGCGAAACTGAAAGTAAAGCAGGGTCTTTGCTGCACCGTGGCAAAATGAGGCAGAAAGAGATTTCTTTTTCTTTTTCCTCACCAAAAAAGGTAGGTGCAAAACTGCAAACAATGGGAAATTTAGGGCAAAAGAGGAGAGTTCAAGATTTTAAAACACAAAAGAAAAAAAGCTCTATTTAACTAGGGAATTGTAATAATTGAGATACTATTAATTGTATATTGTGTGGAAAGTGGAAATGGTTAAGTTGTGGTTTGGAGGAATATATGGGGGAAATTATTTGGTTTATTATTATTGGTAAATATAATTAATTGATTTGTAAGAAATTGGATTGCATGGAAATAATTGGAATATTCATGTTCATATTGATTAATATACAAAAAAGATAGTTATATAACTAATTGATTTATATTAAAATGTTGAATTTGTATTAAACAACTATATTACATAATTACATAATTAACCAATATGAGGATGGATATAAAAATAGATGACAATGGGAAGCGGTATAATATAGAATAGAAGGGAAAAATTGAATTTGATTAAGATTAGAGATGAGGATGAAGGGTAATATTGGTTTTTTAAAAAAATAGATGAGGAATAAATATGGCAAAAAGGAAATATAGAAATTGTAAATTTAATTGAAATGACTAAACACTGCTTAAATTTGTGAACCAGCCAAATATTCTGTTCAAAGAAAATACATTGTATGTTTGTATGTGTGTTTCTAATTATTGCTATTTATTCATATTTGTTCTCTTTTATTCTTTAAAGTTTAACAATTCATTCTTTATCTTAATATCTTTATATTTGTTTGGGGTTGGCTTTCTTCCCTTTCATCTTTTTTTTTGTACAGCAATCTTTCTCCTCAAACCTACCACCTCTCTCTTTTCTTTTCTTCTTACTTTCTCTTCCCCCCTCTTTTTCTCCTCCCTACTTCCTCTTCCTTTCTCCTTCTCCTCCTCTCTTCCTGCCTCTCTTACCCTCACTCCTACTCTAATTTCCCTTCCCTTCCTTCATCCCTCTCTATTGCTGTATCCTTTTATGCATATGGACTACTCAGAGGGCTGAAAAAGTTATTTTTGACTGGTCTGGTCCTCACACTTTTGACCAGTCCTCGAACTTACGACTGTCCTCACATTTTACATTTTTGCCCTATCTTGTCATCATGGTGAAGAGAAGCAGTTGTGAAATGAGTGACATGGTTGTTAAGATGCTGCACGGGCATAAATGTGAGGATGGTCATAAGTATGAGGACCAGTCAAAAGTGTGAGGACCTGTCAGAAATGACTTTTTTCAGCCCTCTGGTTAGTCCTTTTGTGCATATGGACTACTCAGAGGGCTGAAAAAGTTATTTTTGACTGGTCCTCACATTTTTGACCAGTCCTCAAACTTACGACTGTCCTCACATTTTACATTTTTTTTTTGCCCTATCTTATCACCATGGTGAAGAGAAGCAGTTGTGAAATGAGTGACATGGGTTGTTAAGAATGCTGCACGGGCATAAATGTGAGGATGGTCATAAGTGTGACGACCAGTCAAAAGTGCGAGGACCTGTCAGAAATGACTTTTTTCTATACACATAGCCATGGCCACCCGGTCACATGACCAGCTAGCCATGCCCACCCAGTCACATGACCTCCAAGCCACCCACAAAATGGTGGGTATCCCGCTTTACCAATGTTAAAATCTGGTCCCCTTATACATAACAGCAGCCTTGCTTTCTCCAAGCATCCTAGAAGGTATCTAGATAGAAGCTTATTTATGTAGGCATCAGTTGTACAATCTGTACAGGTTGCTACACTCAAAGTCCTGCATTCCAAAACCCCTCCATTTCGTCATACAACATGCAAATTCAGGACTAAAGTTACTTAAAATACAAAAGAACATACAATGTGCCATGTGAAATGAGACTTTTATCTATCCAACACAATGCAGTCCAACCATATTGGTCCACTAAGAGCCATTCCAGAAGATTCTCCTGCCAAAAAAACGATAAGATGGTGCCTGTCTCCAGCCTTCAGAACTGGCAACTCTTATTTTCCTTATCAACACAAGAAGCTTCTTGGAGACTTTCTGTCTGTCTGCCACATCCTGGTCCACCATCCAAGAAAATGAAAGCCACCATTAAGACCCGCTGAACATCCCCACCCAACATTTGTTGCCTGAAGTAGTTTCCTTATCCTGGCCAATAGTTGATCCATTGTTTAGAGGACAGATCCAAAAGCACCCTGTTATCAACACAGCTGCCTGCAATTACTGCAGGTTCGAATCTTACCAGGCTCAAGGTTGACTCAGCCTTCCATCCTTTCTAAGGTAGGTAAATTGAGGACCCAGTTTGTGGGGGCAATAAGCTGACTTTGTATAAATATACAAAAGTATGAAGGCTATTGCTTAACGCATTGTAAGCCGCCCTGAGTCCCCGGAGAAGGGCGGCATATAAATCAAATAAAAAAAAAAAAATCTCAACCACTGTCAGGATCAACCACAAGAAAGAAGAAATCATTACAGCTGGGGAAACTTTCCACCTCTCCACAGGTCTTGTTTAAGTTGGTTGTCGACAAAAAAGAGATGGGGGAAGAGTAAAGGGGAACAAAATGTTGCTGGATGTACATGACTGAACTAGTGTAAACATCTCAGTGTATAATTTCACCAGTGTAAGAAGAAGACAGGAACTTTTAAAAGGAAAGGTGAAAAGGGGTGGGGTGGGGTATCCCTCCATCTGCGCTACCAGAGGTCTCTCAAAAAACATGGTCATCCGCGCTTAGCAACCAACCCAGGAAGGGTGAGAGAAGGGAGTAGCTCCACCTACACCCCCTCCCAAGTTTCCCCCCCCTCTCTCTCTCGCCCTCCCATAGAGAAAACAAGGACGTCTTCAGAAAAGTGGGGAAGGGGGAGGGGGGAGCGGAGCCGAGTGGCTTTTTACTTCAAGCTCCTCAAAATCCGAGCGGCTTCTGGTGGGAAAAGAGCCACACGGTTTTCAGATTTATTATTATTATTATTATTATTATTATTATTATTATTATTATTATTATTATTATTATTATTATTATTATTATTATTATTATTATTATTATTATTTAAAGCAGACAGAAAACCCGGGACGCGCGTGGCGGGGACATTCCACGCTGGAGCTGATGGCAGGCGCTCGGGTGACTTCTCCCTCTTCCTCGAGCATCGTCCCGGGGCCAGCTTTCTCTGTCCCCAGCCAAAAAGACAAGAGTAAGGGTAGGGGAAGGGAAACTGGGGAGGGAGGGGGGGAGAGAGAGAAGGCACTTACTTGCTCCCATGCCCCGAAGGTGGAGTTTTCAGCACGGCTACAAAGGAAGCCTCCTCCCCGCCGCTTGTCTTTCTTTCTTTCTTTCCCTCTCTTTCTTTTTTTAGTCCACCTTACTTTCTCCCCTTTCTTTCCTCCCTCTTAGGTACTTTTCTCAGCGCAGTGAGCAACCCCAGCTTGGAAAAAGTGAGCCTGCCAGCAAGTACCTGCTGCAGCTGGGGAGTGGGGCGGGTGGGGGATAGACCCAGTGCCCCGGGCTCTCCCAAGGCTTTGAAAACAACAGCGCTGGTCTCACTGGCGGTGGCAGGAACGACGGCGCCCTTTCCTCTTGCCCGCGTGAATCGAGAGCGGGCGCCGCCCGGGCTCTGGGGACCAAAGCAACCCTTGGGCAGGCGATGCGAGTGCTGGAGGGAAGGGCGGCTGGCGAAGGGCGTTGCTCTGCTCAGAGCCGAGGAAAGAAAGCCAGCGTGGAGCGCTTGCTACGCCCGCCCGTTCCAGACTCCGCTCTACTGGGCGGATACTAATGCGCGCCCGAGACAAGAGATGCGCGTCAAGTATGCAGGAGAGACTTCGGAAAGGGAGGGGCCGGCGGCGGGCATCTCCGGGAACAGGAGGCGCCGAGAGAGAGAGAGAGAGAGAGAGAGAGAGAGAGACGGAGGGATTGTGGAAACTGGAAAAGGAGTTGGCGATCTCTTTGAGAAAGAGCCTGGATGCGGCTAAAGGGAAAAGGCCCCAGACCTGTTGACAATGGAAGTAGCCGCGGGAACGCTGAGTAAACGAAGGCGGGTTATGCGATTGGAACCTGATTAGCAGGGCGACACACCCTGGCCATCACAATCGCTTTTGAGGCTGAAAGAAGCGTTTTGTACATGCGACCCTCAGCTGGACTTAATTCCAAAAGCTGCGCTCATCTAATATGTTCACTTAAAGTATGATGTACAGCATTACTGTGATCCAGTTGCATGGCCTCCCAACATCTGGAATCCTAAATCACCCCTTTCAGTTTTTCTCCTTGGGTTAATACAGATCATGTGGTTCATTCTGATTATTTGGTTTGAACGGAATAAATTACATTTGTTTTAAGCCACTGTTATAAAACAGAGTTAACATCTGGCCTTCCCAGAAGCTGCACCATAGTTCCAGAAAAGTATATCTTCTTAACTTGGTTCCTTCGAAACTTTGGAGGTACAAAGGATCAGGTTGGAGAAGACTAATCCCCTAAATTATGGTTAGATATTGGGTAAAAGTTCCTAACAATAGTTGTTCAGTTACGGATCAGTTATGGATTGGAATACAGGTAGTCCTCAACTTAGACCATAACTGAGCCCAAAATTTATGTTGTTAAGTGAGAAATGTGTTGTGAGTCTTGCTCCATTTCACGCCTTTCTTGCCACATTTGTTAAGTGAATCACTGCAGTTGTTAAATTAGTAACATGGATGTTTAAGTGAATCTGGTTTCCCCATTGATTTTGCTTGTCAGAAGCTTGCAGAAGATGATCACATGATCCCAGGACACAACAACAGTCATAAATGGGAATCAGTTGTCAAGTACAATTGCTTAAAGCATTGTAAGCCGCCCCGAGTCTCCGGAGAAGGGCGGCATATAAATTTAAAAAAAAAAGTATCCAAATGTAGATCATGTGACCATGGGAAGGCTGCAACGGTCATAAGTGCTAAAAATGGTCATAAGTAACTTTTTTCAGTGCTGTTGTAACTGAACAGTCACTAAGTGAACTGTTGTAAGTGGAGGACTACCTGTATAGAATAACAAGATTTGGAAGGGACATTGGAGGTCTTCTACCCAACCCCTTGATCCAGCAGAAAACCCTATTATTCTGGACAAATGGCTGTCCAATCTCTTCTTAAAAACCTCCAGTGATGGAGCACCCATAACTTCTGGGGGCAAGCTGTTCCACTAATTGCTCTCACTGTCAGGAAATTCCTCAATTCTAGGCTGGATCTCTCTTTGATAAGCTTCCATCCCTAACTACTTTACCCTCAGGTACTTTGGAGACTAAGTTAACCTCCTCTTCTCTCTGGCAGTCCCTCAGGAGTTGTTATAGATGAAATGATATCACCTCTAGTCCTTCTCTTTGTTAGACTAGACATACCCAGTTCCTGCACTCTATCATATGTTTTAGTCTCCCAGTCCCCTAATCATCTTCATTGCTCTTCTCTGCACTCTTTCTAGACTGAAAGTGTTTAAGGCTGGCCATTGGTGGAAAGTGTCATAGAACTAGATTTCCAAAATCTCCATAATTTCTAACTTCTGGGGCCTGGAAATTCAAGGATGTTGTTATAGTTTATTTATATTAAAAATGTATAGGCCATCCGAGGCTAACATACTCCAGATAGCTTACAAAATACAAAGATAAATATACTGTAAAAACACTAGCCTCATCAATAAGAAAACAATTGTGTTCTGCGAGGTAGTTAATCAGAACTGTTTTCTTATTCAAACTAGGGTGGAGCAATTATGTTGTCCAAGGCTGGCATGCCATTGGAGAGAGATGGCATGGAAAGTGCTATAAAACAATTGCATGGTGAAATAGATTTTTGTAATACCCATGCCATGCTACAAAAATTCAGAATATTTTTATTCTGATATTCCTAATCAGAACAAAAGAAGTGCAATGTGGGCAGAACTAAATGGACTTAATATGGTTTCTATCCTCACGTTTGTCAATACTTCTTTGTAATGCTTCTCAAACTGCATATATAGGTAATCAAAATTTCCAGACATTCTGTTGGGTAAAATTTAAGTATTTAAAGGGAGAATAGTATGTAGCCTAGTCTCTTATTAGTGCTATCTGCATGCATTCATTGTAATACATGGATGACTCTTGAAAATCTTCAGCCTTTTCTGTATGTCTACACTGTAGGTCACAGCATTTTTCATCATTGAATGGGCTGGAGTTGCTAGGAGATATAATTCAGCACTGCACATCAAGCACTGTCTCTGAGCGTGCACAAACTGCCTTTTTTTGCTGAGCAAAACATTATTTGCCATAAATGTTTTCACTTTGGGGGTAAAAGGAGCTTTAAAGAGAGGCAGTTATGATAGGGACACAGTATCTAAAAGCTTGGACGAATGGATTTTTAAAAATTATGTGCCATTAAGTCAATGTCCCTCTTAAAAACCATATAAATAGCCCTTCTCTAAAATGATCTGGAGATCCTCAATCTGGCTCTTCAGGTGCATTCACTGCTGCAGCAATCAAATCCATACACTTTGCTGCTGGTGGTCTTTTTCCTTCTTCCACCTTTCCTATGGACTTCTCAAAATAGCTGGACACAGAACATTTCCAAAATGATAATTTGAGTCTGGTCATTTGTGCTTGAAGTGAGAACTCTGGGTGGATTTGGTCATGAATCAATTTGTTTCTTAGATCAATTCAGTACAATATGTGATGCGTGTAAAAATTTTCCAAGCAAATTTGTCAGATGATTGTCGGGTACAAAGGTTGGTTGTCATAATGGGACAAAGTATTAGACTTCGGCTACAAGATCTCTGGGAGATTTCTTGTATTAATAGACAACCTATTAGTACCAATGGAAGATTCTCCAGCACACCACAGTGACCACACCTTCCCTTTACATTCTAGGTAAGTTATGCTAAGATAGGGGAGATACAGATAGTCCTTGACTTACAACAGTTCGTTTAGTGACTATTCAGTTAGAACGGCACTGAAAAAAGTTGACTTTTTTCATGATATTTTTCACATGACCATTGTGGTCATGTGATCAAAATTCGGATCAAACTTGTCAACTGACTCATGACAGTTAGTGTTCTGGGGTCACGGGATCACCTTTTGCGATCTTCTGATTGTCAGTGGGGAAGCCAGATTCACTTAACTGCTTTACTAACTTAACTACTGCAGTGACTCGCTTCACAAATGTGGCAAGAAAGGTTGTAAAATGGGACAAAACTCACTTAAATGTTTTGCTTAGCAACGGAAATGTTAGGCTCAATTGTGGTCGTAAGTTGAGGACTACCTATATTCATCAATTTTTCTCTATCTGGCCTCTTAAAAATCCACATACTTGTTTTAAAAACATAATACTATCTATCTACCTCGATGGACACCCTTACTTTCCATGGGTTGGGTAGGATTCGCGGGGGGGACATACCAATATGCGAGTAATGATTATGTAGTGAGAAAAGATTGAACCACCATTTATTCAGGATGTTGTTAAGTTCTCCTGCCAAGGGCAGGGGGTTGGAGTAGAAGACCTCCAAGATTCCTTCTAACCCTATGATTTTATGATTCTCTTCCATGCGCTGCAACCTTCTTGAAAACACAATAATTAAGAAAAACATTTTGCCATTAATATCAATAGATGCGTAAATAAATATAGATCCTGGGATTTGAGACCTCACACCTAAGATTTCTGTGTCTTTCAAATAAGATCCTATTGCACACAGAAATGTCAGAGGGAGCAGAGCAGCAGGTTTCTTAAAACAGTGAAGACTTTTCTTTCTTCTAGTCTAGTGCCTTTAAACGTGAGAAAGAGACTGGCTCAAGGTCACCCAGCTGGCTTCCTGCCTAAGGTGGGACTAGAACTCTGTTTCTAGTCTGGCCCCTTAACACTACACCAAAAGCCAAAGCAGTGAGGAGGGGAGGGAGCAACTGAGGTGGGTTGGTGAATATAAATTGAGAAAGACTCCCTTTCTCACTACATGTGGGTTAAAACAACACCAAGACCCATAAACCAAAGTCCCAAAGGTGCTTTTTCAAGAGGCAAATGGACTTTCTTGCTTTTCTTTGAAGATGTTTCGCTTCTCATCGAAGAAGCTTCTTCAGCTCTGATTGGATGGTGGGGAATGGAAAAAGCACCTTTGGGACAACTATGACCTGGATGACTGAGAATCTCCATTGATATTTAGCTATGCACTTTGGGATGAACAGCCTTCGAATGGTGCGGGAGTATGGACGGATTTCCAGAGAAATTGCAGACTACAGGAACCATTTGAGCTTCAGTTTGAGATGCAGGCACTATTCAGGTGACCCCTGAGGACACAGGAAAACGCTCCTAGTGTCCTCAACGACTCTAAAAATAATGCAAATGACCAGCTGTCTGTAAGGAACATAAATCCTTCCATTCCCCATCATCTAGTCAGAGCCAAAGAAGCTTCTCGGGTGAGAAGCGAAACGTCTTCAAAGAAAAAACCAAAAAGTCCAATTGCCTCTTGAAAAAAAGCACCTTTGGGATAACCATGACCTGGATGACTGAGAATCTCCATAGCCAATCCCCAATGGAAGGGTCTCATTGGTGATGTCGATCTATAGAGACAAAAGAAGATAATGAAATCTAAAAGGGGGGGAGGGAAATGACACGACGCGCTTGGTCCCCCATCCAGATCTTCCTTCAGCAGGTCAATGCCAGAAAGCATTATCCGTTCCCTCAGGTTTTCAGAGGAAAGCTAAGGGTGAGAAGAGCAAGGAAAGAAAGTAAGAAACCCGCCGGCCGCAGCCTCCCCGCTTTGGCGCTTCGTTGGGCGTTGGCCGCGCCTTGTGTTGCGCCG